GAAGTCCACCCCTCTTAAAGTTGCCCTGGTTGGAAAAGAGTGTCCCAGAGCAACCCTGAGGTTTCAAAGAGAGCCCATGCTTCCCTGCCTTGGGTGATGGGACGCGCTGTTGCCGCCACGCCCTCAGAGCCCCTCCTCTCCTCTGCTTGCCTTCCAGCCCTGCCCGTGGCCATGGGGCTGAGGAGCGCCCAGAAGGCTCTGTTCCCCTTGCGCTCCGTCTCCGACGTGGTGCGCCTCTTCGAGCTGGAGCTGCACCGGGAGCAGCCGGACCTGGTGCTCCTCTCCCTGGTGCTGGGCTTCGTGGAGCACTTCCTGGCCGTCAACCGGGTGCTCCCCACCAACGTGCCCGGCATCAGCTTCGAACCGGCCCAGGGCCCCGATAGCCTGACCTACTTCCCAGTGGCCGACTTGAGCATCGTTGGTGCTCTGCACGCCCGCTTCACCGCCCAGATCCGAGGCGCCGTGGATCTCTCGCTCTACCCCCGGCCGGACGGGTACTCCTCCCGGGAACTGGTCAAGAAGGTCTCGGACGTCATCTGGAATAGCTTGAGCCGCTCTTACTTCAAGGACCGAGCCCACATCCAGTCGCTGTTCAGCTTCATCACAGGTGGGTTCCCGGTTCCCGGGTTTGGAGAGGCGCGGATGTTGGGGACGTCATGCGCGTCAGATGTTGGTTGCAGGCTGCCCCGGTTCGATCAGCAGAAAAGGCTCTTCTGAAGGTGCCCTCTGGTTCCAGGAGACGTGAGGCGGGGTCTTTTCCTGCCCGGCTCCCGGGCTGCAGAATGCCTTCCCCGGAGGCGCATGGTTTGCCCTCTTTTCCCCAATATTCAGGAAAACAGCAAAAACGCATTTTTGGTGACCCAGCTCTTTGATATTTTTAACCACAATGATTTTAATTTTGGACTTGGATTTACCACCCATGGCATCTAGCACTTATTAAAACAAAAAGTGTGAAAACATGGCTTGGCCTGGGGGCCTGAAGGGGGCTCGCGTTGTTGGAATTGGCCAGTGGGAGACTGAGACTGCTCCCCTCATCATCTTGAATTGTATACAGGCTTTTTCTATAGAATTATTATTAGTTATTTTAATATGGATATTTATGTTTTTATTGTTTCGGATTTTAATTGTAAACTGCCCAGAGTCACCCTCTGTGGGAGATGGGCAGCGTATAAATTTAATAAATAAATAAACCAGATTGCCAGAAACTTTAGTCATCTTTTTGACCAAGAAATTACAGTCTTCCTTCTGCAAGACCTAACTTGAACAATCTCTACAACGGTGGCCAAGTTCCTAGCAATAGCTGTGGCTTGCAGAAGGAAGGCAGTTTACCTTCTCAATATTAATTGCTTCAGGTTTGGGTTTTTCCCTGTATTTTACATGTTGCGTTGGTGTTTCTGCGTTTTGAATTTTATGTTTGTGCTTTTCTTGGCCTGGGGCCGCCAATAAAATTAATGACTGGGGTTTTAATTG